CAGGCGGGTCTCGAACCCACGGGCTCAGGCAATCCACTCACCTCAGCCTCCCAAGGCACGGGATTACAGGTTGAGCCACCGAGCCCGGCTGATAATCCTTTTTTTAAATTTTGAGTTGGAGTCTCACTCTGTCGTCTAGGCTGGAGTACGGTAGCACGATCATGACTCACCGCAGTCTTAACTTTCTGGGTTCAGGCATTTTCCTGCCTCAGCCTGCTGAGTAGCTGGGACTATAGGTACGCACCACCATGTCTGGCTAATTTTTTGATTTTTTGTGGAGATGAGGTCTTGCCAAGTTGCCCAGGCTGGTCTCAAACCCCAGGGCTCAGGCAATCCCTGCATCTCCGCCTCCCAGAGTGCTGAGATTACAGATGTGAGCCACCGTGCCTGGCTTAATTTTTTGATTTTTTTGTAGAGACAAGGTCTCATCATGTTGCTCAGGCTGGTCTCCAACTCCTGGGCAATCCTCCCATCTTGGCCTCCCAAAATACTGGGATCACAGGTATGAACTACTGCACCTGGTTCACTTTTCCTTTTTTTTTTTTTTTTGAGTTGGGGTCTCACTCTTTGCCCAGGCTGCATAATATTCCATGGTGTGATGGTGTGTATAAGCATACATGCACAAGTGTCTTTTTGATAAAATGATTTATGTTCCTAACTAAATATGACATTCAGAAAAAGGCAAAACTATGGAGACAGTAAAAATATCACTGGTTGCCAGAGGCTAGGGTATATGGAGGGATGAATGGGTGAGACACAGAGGAATTTTCGGGCAGTGAAAATACACTGGATGAGCCAGGCGCGTTGGCTCAAGCCTGTAATCCCAGCACTCTGGGAGACCAAGGCAAGTGGATTGCCTGAGTCCAGGGGTTCAAGATCAACTTGGGCAACTTGGTGAGACCTCGTCTTTACAATAAACAAAAAATTAGCCGAATGGGTAGTTCTAGCTACTTGGAAGACTGAGGCAGAAGGATCATCGCTGGGGTGGCCGTGAGTGCGCCACTGCACTCCAGCCTGGGCGACAGAGTGAGATTGCAACTCAAAAAAAAAAAAAAAAAAAGAGAATACACTGGATCCTTGAACAACCCAGGGGTTAGGGGCACCGACCTCCCCACACAGTCAGCATGATTGTTGCATTGTACCCTAAGAGTATGTTTCATTTCATAAAGGAACTACCACATTTTCTTCCAAAGTGGCTATACATTTTGCATTCCCATCAGCAATGAATGAAAGTTCCCGTTGCTCCACATCCCGTCAGCATTTGGTGTTCTCAGCATTTTGAATTTTGACCATTCTAATCATTGTGTAGTGGTATCTCATGCTTGTTTTCTTCTTTTTTTTTTTTTCTGGCCAAGAATTTTTTTTTAATTGTTTATTTGAATGTGTGGGGTAAAATTCAGGGTTAGGTATACAAATTATGCAGGTACCCTTGTTGATGAGGTGTAACTCCCCCTCCCCTGGCAGTTTCCCACTACTGCCAATCCCTTTCTTATAGTATTACGATAGTTCTTCAAGGTCCACTTAAGAGTGAGAACATGTGATACTCGGGTCTTTGTTTCTGTGATAGATCACTTAGTATTATGAGCTTTAAATCCATCCAAGTTGCTGCGAAGTTCATGATTTTGTCCTTCTTTATGGCTGTAAAATCCTGTCATGTATATGTACCACTTTTTTTTATCCAGTCCTTTTTCGATGGGCAGCACAGTTGGTTCCATGTTTTTGCTATTGTAAATAATGCTGCAGTAAACATTCATAGAGTGATTTGAGTCCCTCTGGGTATAACCTTAGTAGGGGAATTGCGGGGTCATATGGGAGGTTGATTTTTAGATCTTTTAGGAATCGCCACACTGTTTTTCACTCTCACCAACACTCCCACCAACAGTGTAGAAGTGTTTCCTTTCCCCCACATCCTCCCCAACATCTGTTGTTTCTTGGAGTCTCACTCCGTCCGGGCTGGAGTGAAGTGGCCCCAGTGTCGACCTTCTGGACTCCAGCCATCCTTCTGCCTCAACCTGCTGAGTAGCCTGGAACTACAGATGCACGCTACCACACCCGGCTATTTTTTGTTTTATTGTAAAGACGAGGTCTCACCAAGTTGCCCGGGCTGGTCTCAAACCAGCGGGCTCAGGCAGTCCACTTGCCTCAGCTTCCCAAAGTGCTGGGATTACAGGCTGAGCCACCAAGCCCGGCTTCATGTCTTTATTTATTTTAATTTTGTGGAGACAGGGTCTTGCTATGTTACCCAGGCTGGTCTCAAACTCCTGGGTTCAAGGAATTCTCCCACCTCAGCCTCCCAAGTAGCTGAGACTACAGGTGCCATTGTGCCCTTGGCTTGTTTTTCTT